TGCATGGGGTTGTTCCTCCCCAGGTGCAGGACCCTGCATTTGCCCTTGTTGAACCTCATCAGGTTCCTCTCTGCCCAACTTTCCAGCCTGTCCAGGTCACGCTGAATGGCAGCACAGCCTTCTGGTGTATCCACCACACCTCCCAGTTTGGTGTCATCAGCAAACTTGTTGATGGTACATTCCAACTCTTCATCCAGGTCGTTGATGAAGAAGTTGAACAAGGCTGGGCCCAGTACTGACCCCTGGGGGACACCACTGGTTACCGGTCTCCAACTAGAAGTGGGGGAGTTCATACACATTCTGAGCAAGACAAATAGCATCACTTAATCAAGTTATTTGATGTTTTGAGTAAAAAGCCTCCACATTTGTAGCATAAGGCCAAGACCTCAGAGGTTCTCATTTAGACCTCTGAATCAAATTTTAGTAGAGCAGAGAAGTTCAAGAATCTAATGTAGTAGTTACAGCTGTGTATAGGAACGTAATTTACTCTTTTGAGAGGTCTTCGAATCATTGTCATCAATCAAACAAACTTTTTTCATGTAAATCCATGAGGAAAAGTGACTAACACCCTTCTTCCCCCAACATTGTCCTCTCAGAGCATTTCATGACGTTTCAAGACCACCTTCCCCCCTTCCAGAGGCCACAATAACCTAGTGGGTGTTCATCGCTTGTGTCATTGGGGAAAAAGTAACTGGACTGATCTCCATACCACCCTTACAATACAGCAACAAAGAAGGTAATCTTACTTTATAGGCAAAGTAAAATTAGCACCACTTTATGCTACCACACCAGATGGCAGAAACAGCTGGGCGTCAGGAAGTGTGAAACAGCTTGTCCAGCTGTTCCTGCTGTGGAGTCAACAATCTCACAGCTCATTCACCTTACTGGGTTTGCCAGTTCACACACACAACCTATCTAAAAAACAGGTACTGTTATTTAGATGTTCTTGCAGGATGTAAAACAGTACTATAAGTCTAAATTACCTGTGATGGATTGGTTAGTTGCCCGATACCTATGGCTTGGTATGCATTAACCAACTGTGTTAGGTCTTGTCACCCTTTCGATATCAACCAACACAGACAAAATACTGCTCCATGGCAGCAATAAGCGGAATTCCCGCTTACGAGTTCATGACTAGAAAGCTCTGACCCTCAAGTCAAGCTGAAAGGGATTCTTTTTTCTTTTTAAACTCTGGCAAGCAGTTGCACTTTTAGAGCTAGACATACCAAAGTTGATCAATCTTCCACCATCACTGTCATCTGAACACCTCCCTGCCTTTGAGAAACATTCAGCTGATACGCTTTTGTCTAAAAAGTGAGACTTGCTACACTGAACAATATGAAATGTAGTAATTTCTGATGTAATTTAGACTATATCATCTAACCGTGTCGTATGTGTCAGTCTGAAGGATGCAAAAATCAAACAGATTACAGACTGTGTATGGCAGTAGTTGTATACGTACAGGGGCTGATCTACACTGCCAGTCAACACTATGCAGATGTTCAATTCTAACTTACAACCCTTGTTAAGATGCTTGTAACAAGGTATCAACAAAAGATTATTTATATCCTAAAAAACCTCTGAGGCAGTCTAGATTTCAATGTTTAAGAAAACACTACAAAGAACTGAAGCGCTTCAGAATCTACATCCTGTAATGCTTTTAGTCCAACAATGACTGACACATAAGCTACCTGAGCTTTTCTCAACAAGTCTAACATAAACCCAAATGAACTGATTTCCTTCCCCTCATTAAAACAGTTGAAAATGCAGTGACTGTATATTTTGTACATAAAATTCATTCTTGCTGTGGGTAAAATTCCCCTTGAAGATTGTAGGTTTTCAGTTACTGCAAGCCATTGAAAGTTTCAATCACTATTACCTGATGTGTTGCATATTATACAAACGCTTGTTTTTCAGGTCCATAATATAATTCATGCAGAGGAGCTAATAGGTAGCAGCAGCCAATAACTATGCACTTGCCCTTGTAGTTTCTACTGTGTTTGCGGGTCAGCCTAACAGGCTGCTCAAAACAAAAATCCCACACTACAGACCATGTAGGACTTTACAAAGCAAAGGCTTTCATTCCCACCCGTACTCTGAAAACCTGCCGTACCACTGTCCAACTGCACCACTGCTCAACAAGCCCTTAGAGCCTTGCTGACCTGTTTCAAGATGCGTAGAGGGGCTATTCTCACTCTGAAAGTAACAACAAAGACATATTTATGATTATTTATGCTTCCCACAGAGGTCCCTTCCAACCCCTACCATTCTGTGATTCTGTGATTTTGCGATTACTTCCTCCTACATTTAGGTGTTCCACAGTGTATTGCCAAAACCCACATTCCAGATGCACTCCTGAGCTCTGGGAATACCTGGATGTTGAGTATGCACAGTATATTTTTAACAGCTTCACCACCACTTACTTCCAGACTCTGGCAGAAGGACCAGTAGAAAGCAGAGTGTGTACAGTGTATTTGCTACATGCTAAGAGAACAGCAAGGAAAGATTCCTCTTTTTGTATAGAAAAGCCCAAGTAGACACACCCCAAGTATCCAAAAGCATTAACTGCACTTCATTTAAAAACCTAAGAAATTGCAGCCACATCTAGTCATTTCAAACCTGGCTGAAAACTTCCTCAGTGATCTGCACAAGTCGGTAATGTTAACCACCGATCCTTTAGTACTGACAAAGCAGCATGCCGCTCCTGGAAGGTCATCATGAAACCAAAAGCATCAGAAGCTTAATGGATGATGTGGTTTGGAGTTATTAGTGTTTTCTCTTCGAGGCATCTCAAAATCCTTTAAACCTTTTCAGTGATTACTGCGATTCCCCAGAGTTCTGTAACGGTACATTATGATCACTTGTTTGAAGCAGAGTTTGAAAGCCAGCCCCGTACGCAGAACGCACCACGCGGGGTGCACATCCATCAAGCTTCCAGCCACAACTCATACATACCCTGCAAGCGACTGACTTCTGTGTCACACTACCCACCACTTCTTGTTCACACCCAGGACAGCTAACCCAGAACTTTTTGTGTGCCAGCTTTCCATGCTGAGCTCCCCAGACCTTTTGGACAACCTGTGTCTCAGCTCCAGCAGATCTCCACTCCCTTTGCACCTGGCAGCACACGTGCTCCAGACCTGGGAATTTCTTTTTGCTCAAGAAGTGATGACCCATGGAATAAGCAATACTTGTACAGGTCTTCCAGTGCCACAGCACAGTTGAAAATGGCCAAGACCAGGACTCCCTCCTTAACTATCCCTTCCCAGAACAGCACACAGCGCCATTACTCACATTGCTATCTTTGAGGTAAATTCTGACTTTCTACACTAGGGACAATGAAACACGGAGGCAAGCAGGGCAAGCCCACAGTGCCAAGATTCCACCCCCCCTGCAGACGAGTTCTTTTGAGTAACACATACAACCCTTAGTTTTAAGTTCATCGCAGAGATAATGGTCCTTTCAAAGGCCCAGGTGACACCAAATGAAAAGTCAAATAAAGGACTGTTTTTAATCACTCGCTTCAATGCACACCATTGTGAAACTGTGTGTGTAAAGACATGTATTTTCAGGAATCTTGCATTCAGTGAAATAAAACTTATATAAAAGATGACCGATTTTCTGGGTAAGACCATTTATTTCAACAAATAGATGAGTCTTTATGATGAACTGGAGGCTGCAACAGCTGCTCTCTTGGGCTTCGGTGTGGTTCCCTCACGGAATCCATTCCTACAAGCAGAAACATGGTTACCAATTTTTTATAGGATGATTCATGTTCCAGGTGGGTTTCTGACAAGTAATGTTTTAGATTGAATTCACCAGCTTTTTGTCAGCTTATCTCAGTAATACACTGAAATCACTGTGGAGTTCATATGTTCAGACATTTTACTAAGAAACATCTTATTAACGAGTGTTTGGAATAAGCAGTGTGGTTTTCGCTCTTTTCTGCTGAAGTAAATTTGACTTCTTCAACCAGTAAGATTTCAGTAACTGAGTGAACACTGGAAGAGTGCATCAGAGACAACACACCTGCTTAAGGCACAGCCTACTTTATGTTCCTACTAAGCAACTCAGCAAAAGATTTCCTGCTTGTGAAGTACAAGTCAATTTCTGACAGAAATACTCTATGCCTCCAAGCAGAGATCAAGACAGGCAGGACAAGGGAAGCGTCAGCCCCAGGCTCCCTTTTGGATATGAGGTTTCTAAGTCAGCCCCACTCAGTGCAAAGCAGGCTACAGCTGCACACTGTAAGGTTATCTTCTGGTTGCCGCTGACTGCGCTTACCAAAACAAACAGATGGATCCCTCAACTACACCCAGGTCTGCGAGTTAAAAGGCTCCTACTTTTCACTATTAAATCCTATCTACGTTTTTATGACAAGACTCTTGCATCATGTGGTATTTTTCATCCAGCTTTCTTGTGTATGAGGCCAGAAGCTACAGAGCTTCCTTTAAGAACATATAGGTCATACAAAGAAACTTTTAAGGAGTTTAACAGTACAATATCCTCACTGTTACCTCGTAAGTACAACTCAAAGCTTTGTAAAGCTTTTAGTTTTAGAAACCTGTAACTCAAAATCTGATGTTCTAGCTACTTACTGCTAACTGAACTCCAAATAAGAGAGTGACAATTGAAGTTCTTCCAGTCCCGAACTTTTCTGGATGGGGAAAAGGGCATTGGAATGCACTTCCAAGGCCTACCTCCTACAAAATCCCACACTTCAGGGCAGCCGGCAATTTAATTGACTCACAAACAGAAGCAATACTACACAAAGCATAACTTTTTAAATGTGGCCATTTTATTACAATAACCTCTCTTCTGTACCATCTACACTTAACAGAAACATCAGAGCTTGTTGTACACCCTATGTATTAACAGTGAGCAGGTTTTTTTATCCTCAAAGGAATATGCAGCCAGTTATGTAAGGCATCATTTACTTCATATGTTTAAGAAGATGATACCACATTAAGTGTACTAAATAAATGAATAAAAAAAATGTTAACTCTAAATGATTAATTTTATAATTAAGTGACATCTATGCAGGATTTCACACCACGCTAGTTTCTACTGAAGAGTTATACCTGAATCGACGGTAGACCTTTTTCAGGTGCCTCATACGACCAGTACCAGTGGTGTTGCGTCTTTTAGCCTTTGCGCTCCAGTTATCTAAAACACAAAGTTACTGTTACTCATCTGCACCAAATAATTGAACTTCATGTTACATTTCTATAGCACAATTACTCAATCTGACAGAAGCAAAAACATAAATATACATGAAGTCAATTTCCACACAGTAATACTGCACATTAGCAAACACATAGTTAAATCAGCATTAATCTGAAAAAAGCTCCAAACGCTGCAAGACGACACAGTACTCCTCACAGGCTGGAATGACGTCAGACTACTGAAGAACACACAGAAACATACGGGTTTAAACTGAAGTCAGTTACAAGTTTGTGACTTACACTTTCTCTTGCGCTTAGCAGGGTAACCACATTTCCCACAGGTAGACTTCTGCAGGTGGTACGCCTTGGACCCACATCGACGACACAAGGTGTGTGTCTTATTTCGCCGCTTACCGAATGACGATGTACCCTTCGTCTGAAAAGCATTTCAAGACACGGCATGTTGGAAATATCACCAGCACTTGCAAGTGACGTAATTAGAATAAGAATAATCTCCTCTAAAACACACGCATAAATCCACCAAGTCGAATAAACGCGCCAGAGGCACACCGAACCTGAAACGCCAACTCAGTTTCGCCGACGGGCAGCGTCCATTTTCAAAAGCCACCTCCTCCCGCC